CTCCACTCTACCAAGCATGACATCCTTCTCCAGGGAATGGTCCCTTTTTACAACATGACCAAAATAGGTGAGACGAAGTCTGGCCATTCTTGCTTCCAAGGAGCATTCTGGCTGCACTTCCTCCAGGACAGATATGTTAGTTCTTTTAGCAGTCCATTTTACATTATATCCACATTGAACTTTGTTTAATCTTTGCTATATGCATTCTATATTCTAGTTCCCTTTGTGGTGCAGTTGGCAGTTGACTGCTAACTTCAAGGTTAGCGGTTTGAATCCAGCTCTGCAGAAGAATGACTTGGTGATCTGTTACCATAAATATTAAAGTCAAGAAAACAGTAATGGAGTAATTCTACTCTGTAACACATAAAGGTGCCATAAGTTGGAATCAACTCTAAGACAATGGGTATATTGTAGTCCATTTTATATTCCAAGTGCCTACCCAGTACATGACACCAAATTGGTGCTTAATACATTTATTGAATGAATTAAAGACTAGCTTTTAAATTTAGTAGAACTTGTATAGAGTGATTTGGAATATACTGTAAATGAAAGAAAATATTAAAGATAAAATTGAGTTATACCTTTAATTTGGCTAGAAAAAAATTCACATTACCATCTAGCACATATTTACCAACTTTTTGTGTTAAATAACGGCTTCTACATCTGGCCTGTTGACTGGTGCCTGTCTAGAATGCAGTTTACTCACTCCTGGTGATAGGAAAAAAATCAGGATAGTGTATGAATTTTTCACATAAGTACATGTATTTAGTTTAAAATTCTGCTTTTTAATATAGCCATGCACCACCTCATGTCAATTCAGGTAATGTCTAACCATATAAATGTCCATTGTCCCAACCTCCATAAAATTTGAAGTCCAAATAAAGGTTCATAATAACAAATGGCCACTGCTTTGTGATGTGTGTCAAAACATTATTATTATTATTACCATATTATTATGTTAAAGATTTCTTAGAATATTCAGAAGTGTTTCTTTGATGATTTTTTTATGCATAGAAAGGTGTACTATACAAGCAGTCCCTGGATTACAAATGATTCCTATTCCTAAATGTTTCTTTAAGTGACATTTGTATTTAAAGGTTAGGTACGATTAGGTACGATTCATATCTAATGTCAGTTACATGTTTTTCTTACTATATAGAATATAGCGTGCCTTTCTATGCATAAAAAACATTAAAAAAACTCTTCCAGATACACTAAAACATCTTTAACATAATAATACAGTAATGGTAATAATGTTTTGATACATGCTGCAAAGTAAACCCATTTGTTATTACAAACCATTTTATGCACCCCAAATTTTAAAATTTATAGGGATTTACAGACATTGGTTTATAAATACAGGTTGTACATCAGTTGGATGTAAGTCTGATATTTATAACTTGAGAACTGCCTCTAAACTCTATACTAAGACAAACATTTGACTAATTGAAGTTAGATACAAGTTATACCTGTTTCTATTTATTTACAAATTTGACTTAAAGATAGACTTAAGCATGGAACTCTTTCTTAATACAGGGACTGCCTCTATATACGGTGTTTGCATAACGTCCAAATCACCAAATGTCCTATTTCACAGAACATATTGTAGACATTTAGTGATACATGACTAAACTCAATACTTCCTACTTCTGCTATTGAACAATTTCATATTATGAAATGGTGATTTCAGATGACAGTTTTGTTTGTTCTTTACCATCCTTGCTTAGTGTATGACAGAGATGTGAGATCATATTTCTGCATGGCAATGGAAAATTGCTTAAGAGTTTGGAATATGATCCTATGTAACTACAATATAAAGAAAACTTGCAAAACATTCAGAACCAGGTATTGGTTCATATTTGCTTCTATCTGTGTAAGAAAACAGCAGAATTCTCAATGAAATAATGGCTCTATATCAAGTCTAATTAAGTGCTAAAATATAATAATAAAGACAACCAGGTATTGTGTGTCTCTTGATGAAAAGAGATAACGTCACATATGAAATATTCTTGCAAACACACACACACACACAAACCTGGAAATGACTGGCCTTTCTGTTTACTTTTTCTTTTCTTTTTTTTTTCCCTTAAGTCCTTAGCTTTTAGATATATTTATCCAAATGTTTGTGGATGAAATTATGAAATGTTTTAAAGTTGTCTCATAATTATCTGTAATAGGGGAAATATGTGAGGGAAATGGGTAGGAGAGTAGAGAAAATAAGAATGGCTATGAGTTGATAATAGTTGAAACTGATGATAACATATTATAGAGCATTAACCATTCTATGTTTTTGAATATGTTTACTATTTTCCATAGTAATACTTTTTTCTATAAGGTAGTAACCACGAAGTATTTATTACCAGCTCCAGTGAAATTCTTTCTTGCTCCAGTGAAAAGGCAACAGTCTAACTCAAAGGGAAACCTAAATGTGATTTTAAGTGAGGGTTTGTGGACAGTGAAAGAGTACCAGCCAAAACATAGAAGAAAAGCACTGTTATTGGGCTGTGTAAGTCATAGAGGTGACTGTCCAAAACCACAGAGAGTTCTCAACTTGTCCAGAAGTTGGCCCTGTGGAACTTAGGGCCCATATGTTCTCCCATGAGGGACATGCTAACCAGGAACTTCTACATGATAGTAATAAACTATTTCTCTGTGTGTCTTTTGATATATTTTCTCATACTTTGTTTAACTAAGCTTTATTATGGTTTGAATTCAGTGTGAGAACCTCATCATCTAACAGAAACTTAGTAGGAGGAATACTACCAGCAACAGTTGGCAAAAATAAAGAGCTGGCAATTCTGAATTGTACTCTAACTATTAATTCTCTTTAATTTTACTGCCGCATAAATCCCAAAGTCTGGCAGACTCCAGTCTGCAATGTGTTCATGCTGTTTAAGTCTACTTCATATCAGAATTTCATTTCCCTTGAACTGTATTCTGGAATATTCTGAAAATATGTACAATATGATGCTAAGGATTTCACTATCTTCAAAGGCCAGTTTGCATATTTTTAATTGGTCATGGATTCAATCCAAATCCCTACCTTCCTTATTTTCCTTTGGCTTGCCTGTTTCTGTTTCTTACTGAATCCACTGGCATTGTGATGACTCTGATTATGGCTTTGGGTATCATGATTTCTAGATCTCTAGGAGCAAATGATCCTAACCTTC